TAGTATTTTTTTTTGCAGCAGCAGCAGTAGAGAATTATTACAATCTCCAAGTAGATGAATGTTTTGAAGACTACGAAATAGCTTTGAACTTGCTCTTAGCACTTTGACACAGAAAGAATTAGAGAATGTCTGAAAGTGAATGAACTCGGTGTTCTCACATGTTCTCCTCATGCTGCATGTTGGAGGATGGTCCTGTAAAAAATGAGTATCACTTCCATTCTTTTCTCTGCCCTTGAATGCAATACTTTTTCCACTCAAACAGATATTTTGTGCAATACCTGCCCCTCTTAGTATGTTTTCTCAGGCAAACCACCTATATGACATTAGAATACTATGGATTCTAGTTAGCTAACATATTCTGAAAATGGACATTATCAATTTGTACTACACAAAAAAAGTAAATTACACATTTTGAAAAATCCCACAAAAATATAACAACATGTTTTYCTGTAAAGATAGTAAACATTGAGATAAGTAGAGCTCATGTAGCATTACGAAATGCTGTTACAATTTTAACAATGTTTTGTCTTCTAATGGATTCTTTTACTCATTCAATAAATATGTTTATTATCTACAATGTATTATACACTATAAAAGTCTTTGAGTTAGATCAGCTCACCATAGAGTAGTTAATTTAATCAATTTTATTACTTAGTCCTTATTTATTGGACTCTTATTTTTAGTGACTACATTGCTCATTTAACCAAGTTAAACCTAAAGATGCTACCTCTGTTCTTATATTATAGATCTCTATATCATGAATAGTGTATCGGGGAAAGAAAAAAAACAACAAATTGAGGAAAAAGGAAAATGACAGGAATAATAATAAAAATCAGCCTTTACTGAGGAATTCCTTGTGTCAAGTGTTAAGTTCTTATAATGTGTTCTCATTTTATCTTCATAGCCCTGTGAAAATTTCCTCTAGTTTTAAAAACAGAAAATAAAATTTAGAGACATTAAGTAACTTGCCCTTGAGTACACAATTATTAAATGCAGAAGGCCTAGACAAGCTGACTCTAGAGTTGAGCTCCAGTCTTCCTCTACAGTGGCAAGAGGATGGGCATACAGGGACAGAGCAAAGACGAGATGGGAAGCTAAACTTATCAGACATCTCATTTTACTTATGGCTCTATTTGATTTTTTCAAAATAAATGCTGTTTTACAAGGAATTTAGAATGGAATGGCTAAAATACACAATAGGGCATTGAATTTATTCCCTGATACACCAAGTCCAATTTCATACATACCTAAGGACTATATTAGACACTGAAAACAGATAAAATCATGGCTCTGGGAAGAGGAGGAAAGACAAGAGAGCATGGATTGCTCTTTTCTTTCACCAGGAGCTTCTAAATCTCAACTTTTCAACTAAGGCTTTATTGACACTAAGAGAAAATTAAAAATTAAATTTATTTTAGAATGTTTGCCTACTTAGGTACACATGTGCTCAAAATAATGGCATAGAGAAAAATCAGAAACCTGCATAATCTGTGCAATATTACCTTCTGGAAGCCTTAGAGACATAATCCCAATGAATGGGATATTTGGACAAATTCATGTTTCTAAGTATATTAGACATGAATTTGTACTTACTAATGGTTTGTATTTCTATGTAAATCACTGGATTGAGGAAAATGGAGTCATTAATATCCTCAGAGGTACTGACAAGCCATTCAAAGCTCAGGCAAATGATGCATAGGATTTTTCAGTTTATTTTGTTATACTTTTAAAAGTATGAACAAAATAGTTACTGAAAAAAAACAAAAAACAAAATACCAAGACTTGGACTCATACATTTTCTCATGGTTCTGTATTATATAATGACTTGAAACCATCTCTTTCATGAGAAAAGTTGCCAAAAATGGAACGTTAAATGATTAAATAAACAATCATTCCAGACTCCATTTAAAAACTTTAAGATGATTTACACTATAATCAACAGGTCATACTGACATTTGAAAATCTAACTTTCAGTTTTTGCTTTGCATTAAAAAAAAAATAAGTGAGACAGTTAGGAATTTCAGAGCGTAAATGTGCTCCTAAAAACTTGAGAGTCGATCACCCTCAAGTTTTGATTGCCAGAGAGAACTTTTCTTGATTTTCATCACAGCCTGAACTGGTATCCAAGAATAAATCTGAGTACATTACTAACCCGTCCAATAGAAGTGTTTTGAAACGGCTATCTAACAAATGTAGACTACAAATCTTTCAAAAGTACACTTTCTTAGTAAACAAGAAAAAAACTCTAATATTACAGTTTTTGCTTCTAAACAATATGCTACATATRAACAGGCCTATCTATTTAAATCTTTAAAAATATATCTGGGACCTGCTCAGGGATGGTCTTGCTTTTTTTTTTTTTCTTCCTGAACCATCAATGACTTTTCCCCATTCAAATTCTTTGCCACCCTAAAATTGTCTTTGAAAACTGTATCAGTTAAACATCCACAAGACGAATTCCCACATACCAGCCTTTTCCTAATAATTTGTTCTTCAAGGTCCATCAGTGTAGGTATAAAACTGAAATGACTTTTTGCACCGTGTTGTCACCCTCCCCCATCCAAGAAAAATGAACAGAAAATACTTACAATGGTTCTTAGCCAGGAGCATTTTATCCCTTATTCACTAGTGGTAAATGAGTCAGATATGAGTTGGCCAGGAAAAGAGCTGCTTTACCCAAAATCTTAGTATGAAATGAGTCATCTCACTCCAAACACCAATATATCCTCCAAAATAACTGGCAAGAATTTCCTATAAAAAGAACCTTGCCTTCACTCTTTTCCATCCATTTAGGTCTCTGATTTTTCTAATTTTTCAATTTCCTGCATGTTCATAATATCGCATTTATAACAAAAGCCAGGAACATTTCCACCTCTTTATCTTATTTTGAAAATCATCTTTGCCTATTGAATAGGGGAACAATTTTGATAGCATTCCTCTGAAAAAACTAAGAGCTCTGTGACTTTCAAGGACTCCCCCCTCTCTCTCTCTCTCTCACTCTCTCTCTCTCTCTCTCTCTCTCTCTCTCTCTCTCTCTCTCATGAAATGCATTCATGGTTCATCTGAAATGCAAGAGCCAGTTCTAGAAGAATTTTTTCTTTTCCTCTGTTGAGAAAAGGAGTTCAAAGCCACAGAAAATATTTCAAGCAAAATCATTTTTCTTCCCACAAGAAAAATCAATCACTTTAGATATAATCTGTTCAAAACTGATAAATGAGTATGAAAGCAGACAACAAACTTCAACTCTGCTTTCCTGCACAGCAGGACATTAACATTTCCATTTGCTCTCTGCCATCAGATGAAGCTTAAAAATCACTCTGGATTGAAACTGAGGTTAAGTCCTGTAGATCATCAGGAGTCAACACACTATTCACCTGAGGATCAACAAGTGTGCTTATGAAGCCAGTTCTTGCCAATGTGCTGAGATTTTTTTTTTATTACTTGGGGCTCATAAAATCAATTATTATTGCTAATTATTCTAAGCTCTGCAATTTAATGGACAAAATTACGGACAATTCATTTCACTGAGGTTGGAATTCAGCCTCGTTTTTCTATATTAAATGAATTCTAGAGAATAGCTATGCTCCTTTTATATTCAACAGTAACAGATGTTAGTTTCCTCAGTTTTATAGCCCTCAGATGACAGACAACTAACTGTTTTTGGCCTTGGGAATAATTGCAACACCTTTGGATTATGAACTTGGTTCACTTCTTAGCTGGAAACAGCAGGGGGTTCGTTCATATTATCAAAGACATAAAAGAAAAAAAAATTTCCCTGTGCTTCAAAAATCATAAGAAAATGACTTCTAATTCAAGCAATATACAATTTTTTTCTCTACTGCTAATCTGCTCCTTAGTGCTCAGAATAAGAGAAAATACCTGCGTAAAATTGAGATCACTTATTCAGTTTATCTTGTGCTCTTGGCCAAAACAAGATGTTAAATCCATTAAACTCTGAGTATCCAGTAAAAGCAAGAAAGCTAGAATTGTTCAAATTTGTGCATTCTTGGGAAAATTGCCAACTTATGCACTAGTAGCAGGATCTGTGTAATTAATGGTGATGTTATTGATGGGGGGAATCTGATTTTCTTCTCAGAAGCAATTTAAGAGTATAAACTGGCAGAACTTTAGCAAACCCTTTCCTGATTCACTTTCTCATTGAGGAAATAAGACCTTGAAGTCAGCCATAGAAAGTACCAATGTCAATGTACATTTGTGGTGACTTTGGTCGTGGTAGACTTTAAAGAAATCCTGAATGTAGCACTGTCCATAGAATACAATGATGGACCCAAAAAGGCACAAACTGACAAAGATTCCTTAATAAGACAACAAGGGAGCCCAATCTTAGATATTGACCTTTAGTTTTTTTCCCCAGAAAGCTATGTTCATATGAAGTTGAACAGAGACCAATTCCTTCCTATAATGTGAAGTAAAGGAAGACTCAAGTCCACACTCAGTCCACACATGCTCTGTCTCCTTTGCAGACAACTTCCACATTCATCCAGTTGCTGGACCTCAAGAACAATCACAATGGACAAAGTGCGAATGCATTTTTGGCTAGCCACTGCCTCACATTACCTCCAGCTTCTGCTCTCCTCTTTCCTTTGTTATATGAGGAATTTCAAAATGATGAGAGGAAGAAAAAGAACATCTGGAAAAATAGAAATAACTAGGGAAAGAATTAAGGCCACAAGCAGCTCTTTCCATAATGATTTGCACTAAATTACCCAACCAGGAGTGATTTTTCTCACCGACTATCTCATTCTCTCTAGTTCTCTGTGAACTGCAACCACATGCTCCAGGTCTGTGTTTCCCATGAAGAACAAAACAATTGAATTTTCTATAACCCAAAGCATGTGCTCTGGCATCTGTGGTTTTGGAGAAAACARGTGGAGGAAGTGGAGGAGACAGGTGAAGGAAAACCAGGAGCAAGGTTCATGAACATCAGAGATGAGCCTGGATGTTACTGACCCTCATGATTCCCCACACTGGATTCATACCTGCTGTCTTCCTGAGCAAAGGGCTGTTCCACATCCACCGTCAGGGAGGCCAGAGCAGAAACGGTCTCTGTCTCTTCTTGCAACTGAGCGCCAGGCAGAGCACAACCCCTTGGCACAGCCATCATCCTTACAGACTTCCAGTACTTGCCTAGAAAAAACATCCATTATACTTTATAGGAATTTTGGTTAGAGCAGTAGTAATAAGAACACTCGAATAGATCCAACTCAGAACAGTTGTTAAACAGTTGTATAACAGTTGTTCCCCCTGTTATACACAGTTGTAATTTGGTTCCTTAACTCTTATGATTAAGTGGGTTTTTTTAATATAAGAATGTTAAATTGTGATGAACTCACATTCCCAAGTTTAAATCTCTCTTGCTCTAAAAGTAATACAGTGAGGGATAATCCATGATCTAATGAACTCACTAAAAGACTGACAGCTGTCTGTACAACTAAGTAAGCAAACTCTAGGCACCATTCCCCCCGGGGAAGCCCTTGAGAGACCTGGAGGTAGAAGTTTCCTGGAAAAAATGAATGAAATAGTAATGTTAAAAATTACTACTTGAATCATTAACTTTTTAAAAATGAAGTTGGAGTATTAAAGAAAAAAGCAAAGCCCAGCAATGCCAGCATGAATCAAATGGCAGCTTTGCCAGAACAATTGGGCTTGTTAGTCCTGGATGTTCTCTCTTTTTCAACCTCAGGGTGTGTACTAGAACAATAATTGACTGAAAACTTTAATATATGCACTGGCTGATGTTGGAATCCATCCATGTGTCATATTGATATTTCTTTTTGTGAGACAAGGCAGAAAAGGAGAATAAGAGGAAAATAGTCATTTCATGAGAACATGCTAGTGGGGTAAATATAAAAGAGCAGAGGCAAAGCCCTTCTTGCAGCCCCTAAGCTTTTTTTTTTTTTTTCTTTTCTTTTTTTTTTGGTGTGTGTGTGTGAAATGTTGAGTCTCAAATTAAAGCCGGAAAATCTCCCTAGATGCTGACATGACTCATCAGGTTAGAACTATCTTTACAACTTGACCAATTAGATGGAAACTTGGCATGCTGAGGATTTGCTTATTTCAAATAAAAAAAAATAAAGTCTTGCTTGAGTGCAAAAGGAAGATAGATGAATACTGGACTACAAAGTAAGCTAACTGGGCTCTGGACCCAGCTCTGCCTCTGGACATCCCTATCATGCTCATGGGCCTGCTAGGACTTTATATCTGCTTCTTCCAAGATGGGGATTGCTTCAAATATTTTCCAGCTCAAATACTCTTTACTTTACTGTTTCACAAAGGAATGAATGTCACATTAGGGAAAGAGACTCAGTCTCCCTGTGCATTCTGCATGCCAAGCCAAAAACACTCTCTGACATAAGTGTCCACACTACTTACGGTGATCATCTACTATGTCCAAAGTCTGAAAGTCACAAATGTTTTAATTTGAATCAAACATTAGTTATGTCAATGAATCCACAAACTAATATTTTTTGGAAGCTGAGACTATGCTAGATGTTGATGTCACAAAGAGGCTCCTAATCCTAATCCTCCATTCTAGTTGAGTTAACCCTACTAGTTAACAATGGCATATCTGTGTGTAAAAATTCCATATTATCCTTGGGAGGGAATAAACGCAATGAAGAGTCTGGCGTGTAATGAATGACTGCTATTGTAGGCAAAGGCAAACTAACACAATCTTGAACAACATGCCCATGATCTTGGACTTCAACTTTGTACTTATAAGTAGAAGAGGTACATAATCAGATTAATGTTTTAAGAAGATTTCTCTGGAAAGATCATGGATGATGGATCAAAAAGTGATGAGGATAGTGGCAGAAAGACCAATTTTACATCCTGGCAAAAGCCCAGGTAGTAAATCAAGATGGAATAGAAATGAGAAGATGAATTAGGGACCTTTAGGAGGTAAGCAATGGAAATATATCTTGGCTTTTTCTTCAGTATACCTCACATCTCTCAAACCTGAAACTTGTCCTTGAATTGATAATTTCATTGTAAGTGCCTCATTACTCTAGAATACAATGTCATTATTATCCTACCCAACTTGGAAATGCTGTAACCATCAATTAGTTTAGTAAATAGAGTTGCAATGAGTTTCACAAAATGTCACTAAGCACTACTTTGGCACATTATATTCACAAAGCTAGTGATGTGGGATGGCATTCTTTCCTTGTTCTCCGGAGTGACAAGTGCGGGGACTCTGACAAACACACCACAAATAACTGATGATTGACGGTCAAATTATGTTATAAAAACTACAGGGAGGAGACACTAGCATTACTGAACACCTAATATATGTCAAAGACTGTGTGATAGGGATTTTTAACATTTCTAATTTGTTTTCATTTAATCTTCATGACAACTATGTAATGTTGGATAATTTTTTCAAAGGTCATATTGCTCAGGATCAGAGGAGCTTTAATTCTTTCCCAGGATGGATTAATTCACAAATCTCTTCCTTTACACTTTGCTGTCCTCCTCCATCTTCCACCCAGTACACACAAAAATATTCTCAATACATGAAAATCTTGACTTAAAAAAGTATTGTACACATTACAGATTCTTCACTTTACCAGAAAAGAAATATCATGCTATCTTTGTTCCTTAGATATGTGACTCCACACACTTTTTTTTGGACTTTCTGGTGTTTTTTTTTTTTTTTTTTTGCACAAAGAAAGACCACCATGTTTAAACTTGTTTTTTTCTATACTTTATTTTAGTTTGGATATGTAGTGTTCCCCCAAAATTACATGTGTGAGACAAAGAACGTTCAGTGGTCAAATGATTAGGTTGTGAGAGTTATAGCCTAACCAGTGAGTTAATCCACTGGTATGGATTAACTAGGTGGTAACTAAAAGCAGGTAGGTGTGGTTGGAGGAGGTGGGTCACTAGGGGCATGTGTTGGGGATTATATTTTGTCCTGGTGAGCAGAGCACTCTCTCTGCTTCCTGGTGGCCAAGTTCTGAGATGCTTTCCTCCACCATGCCCTTCTACCATGATGTTCTGCCACACTGCAAACCAGAGCTTTGAAGTTGGCCAGCTGTAGACTGAGACTTATGAAATCAAGAGCCAATATAAAATTCCTCCTCTAATTGTTCTTGACCCATCATTTTGGTCACAGTGACAAAAAAAGCAACTAAAGCACTTCATTTCTCATAACCTTGTACTATTGCAAGTACTGGGTTACCAGGTAAGTCACCAATGAATCTATGATACAACTGGAGACCAATGCTCACTAAAAAGTATAAATAAAAAGTACATAAAGGTGGAGCTCTGAATTAAAATACAAAATTTTCAGATTGCTAATCTTATGCTAATTTTAGGAAAGTCATGGAATCACTATGAAGAACAGTCTCCATATTTACAAAATAATGGCACTGAGTTTAATGATTATGAAAGATTTAATTCTGCTCTAATTCTCAGTAATGGTGATTCTTCTGATCTAGTTAACAAATCACTCTTGGATATTATCATACATTTGTTATGTCAAAAAAGCATTACATTTCTATGAGCCTATGAACCCACAAAGAGGTTACTAAGTATTGACTTTCTGCTGAGAGCCATTGCCAAGTAGGAATGACGCATGGCAATTTCTTTGTCAGCCTACTCCATGTTGCTTAGAGGAAGGACTCTCCATTGTGGAAATGGGCTTGCCTTTGGACCCAGGTCATTTGCAGTGACATTGCATGTATGCTTGAGTAAGGTGACCTTGCTCAAGGACCAGGGCGGATCCAGGTTTAGGGTGTATCCTGCTGGGATTAGGGAGTATCCTGCTCCTTGGGTTTAGGGTGGTTCCAGGTTTAAGGTGTACCCTGCTGGGAATAGGGTGTATCCTGCTGCCTCAAGCGCCCGCCTGCTCCTTGAGTTCCCATTGAGTTCTCGCAGGATTCAGAAAGTATTTGGGATTCAGAGCCTGGTGGAGTACGTGAATTTTGCCCAGAACGTGGATTTCCCCAGAACGTGTGTAGAGTGCCAGTGTGAGTTCGGGAATAAAGAATAGCTGTTTGAATCTACAAGGCTGTGAGTGGCTCGTGATTTTGTGCCCAGCCAGACTGCGGCAACTTTCAGATAATGACATATCTACAATGACCAAGGACTTTCATTTTCAAGCACTGTAAATTTTTCCTCAAGAAGAAAACTCCTGGCCATAAATAACAAACAATTTTGCTCCCAAAAGAGAATGAAAAGGCATGCATTCTTAAGATTAATCTTTAGGAAGAATGACTGACAATGATCCTTCAAATTTTGACCTATAAGTATGTGAGTAGTAGGAAGGATTTTGAATAGTTGAGATATTTTTGGATAAAATTTAATGTGTATAAAATATTCTGCTGTTAGGATCAAATAATAGAAGTTTGGCTCTAATCCAAATATGTGAGATTCCTGACTTAGAATTTAAAGATTTTAAATTCAATTTGGCCTTTAGCAAGATGTAAAAAAAAAAAAAAAACAAGAAAAATGTTCTACATTAATAATGTACTTATAGTCCACTATCTATGTTCACAAAAGAGAATAATTAAAATGCAAGTAGGTATAACACAGACTATGCAATATGTGGACAACTCAGACCCCATAATTTATGGGTTATATTTTCATGTGTTGTGTAGGTTTTTTTTTTCTTTCAGAAACAGATGTTCAAGAAACTCATATCTATTGGCATGGGAATAATAATGCCATTAGCACATAAGAGAAATGAACCACATGTTATGAGTAGAGTTCTCAGGAGTTGCTATTCATAAAGTAAAATATTAGCAACCGGCACCACTGAGTTGCTCTCCTATGGCAATAAAACTGGCAAAAGAGAGGAGTTTTCCATTCAAACTGGAGTGCACACTCCCTCTTCAGTCATATCCTTTATCCTTATTCGCTTTTCCCACTATGTAAATCTTCCCACTTTTCAGCACTTTTTTAAAGAACTACTCAGCCCTCATTATTCTKCATTTTTGTTTTATCTGGCAAAGGTAAAGCAAAGAATGAATGCACAATAAAGGTACAAGGTAGATAGTGGAATGAGGACAGTCGAGATCTGGGGTGGGAACCACAGATGGAATTTCACTGGGTCAGATAGGAGTCAAGAGAGGGCATCTTATGGGTGGGTACTGTGTAATCAGACTTCGGGAAAAACCATAACA